AACTACTATGCAGAGTTTTAAAATACAAAGAAAGGAAAAAAATATAGAAAGAAAAATAATATTAATTGTTTTGAGCTTGTAAATTATAATAACATATCCTTCAACTCACACAAGCGTATCGCATCGAAACGTTTTGATTGAAATAATAAAATACATATTTTTATTTGATTGCTATATTGCAGGGGAGATTAACTGAAAGTAATTATGACCAATATAACGTTGGATATACGAGTATATTATGTACACGAATATAATATCTTAATATCGTTGTGTTATATAATATAATATTAAAATATGTCCTTGTTTTCGATAGTAAGACGATTTTAGTAACGTAATCTTTTATTATACCTAATTCAAAAAAAAAATCAGGACCGTTACATTTTTGTCACTGCAAACTTTAACGAGTCGAGGGTTGTTATTTAAAAAAAAACCAATCTAAAAATCAAACACGTTATGCGTAATGTAATATTTTTTTATGATTATCATTTAATTATTATTCATGGTTGTTTCCGCTGTCGATTAAATCCTGAACCTTTTATTTTCTCGATTCGCCAAACAGGAATCGGCGAGGAGGGTTATATATACGCGATTGCATACAGATAATAAACCGCGTCTACAAGTCTGTAAAATAATACTGAAAAAAACATGTTTCGTACCTACCTTATTTAATAAAGAACGCTGCACTCAGGCGACATTAAAAAATAAATTACATATTATATTATATTTCTATGTTATAAGCGTCGCTTAGGAGAAAAAACTAAACACATGCGGTGAATTAAATTGGCACCGGCATCTCGTTGCGGAAAATTTGACACGGGTTTTGCAATATTTTTTGTCAGGCCAATTTTAAATTTTGTTATCACAACCGGTTTTTAGCGTTTTTACGACATCGATCACAAACATGCCCGATTGACTTGACGTTTTAACATTAGTAGTACCCTACTATAAACCGGCAGCTGCGAGCATCGTCGTCAAGCCGACCGCTGTGGTTAAAAAGAAAAAAATACCATACAAAAATATATAGTATTTTTTTTTTAAATATTTAAATGTTCGTTATAATATTCTTTTTTCTCGTACGATCACAAAACCGCGTGCCCACATCAGCAGATCAGCGGGATAGAGAAAATGAAAAAAATCTTAATATTCCACAAAATCCATTTCATTTACAAACTGGATTCAGTCGAACCTTTTTTTAGATTATTGTTTGATCATGATAATATAGACAGTGACACCCTAACTTCTTTGTTCCAGGTGTCTGATCATAATCAAAATAATCAATAACCTTTAAATATATATACCTGAGTATACCTACCCTACTTGTTGTACTTTGTTGACTAACCACTGTTTTGCTGGACAAGTCCTAGGAATATTTTATTCCATGTATGCTCATTAAATGAACTCATAAAGTCATAACATAACAAATATCTCTTCGAAAAAGTTAAAATAAGTTCACTTATGCTGGTATATTCTCAACGCATATCTCGCCAATGGTAAACATTATCATGTACCTACATTAATTTGTTCGATATCTTCTTAATATACAAAATTAGCAGTTGTGTCGAACAATTGGGCGAACATACAATTATTACTAAATCATGGGGTGTATGTTGAGTGAAAAACAAAAAATAATTTTCATAAAATCTAAGCTTAAGTTTTAAATTTTAGAACTCAAGGATTAACGTTGGAATTGTTGTAAATACTAATTAAAGTGGTTTTTTTTTTAAATATCCCATAATAATGTAATATTAGAAAATTGTAATAAACACAATCATAAAAAGTGTATCAAAAAAGGTTCTAGTATACAAGCAATTATTAACTGAGTTAAAAAGAAAGCTGTATAGGATTTTTCTGCCAAACCATTAAGATTTTACATAATATTGAATCTTAAGACGGGAGCTTTTCAACTCTCACTACAATGTAGTTTTTCAATGAACAATAATTTTTCGAGCAGAACACTTTTCAAAAATACTTTTCACACCAAGTTTTGGAATGTGAACTTAGTAAATGGTTAAATACGATCATTTTTGACAAGAATAATTAATGACAAAAAAATAAAAAACTGTACAGCTAAAACACAAAATATAAACAAACTCTTTAAATAACATTTTATTGTGTAACGTTATCGTGTTCAAAAATACTTATTTAAGAGTACTTAAACATTTTCAATATTATTTAGTGTTAATTGTAATTTCAATACTTATATATTGCCAAAAAAATATTAAAAATGCAAAAAAATATTTTTAAATGGGGAATTTAAATAACTGCTGCTCTGTTCAGTGGGTGTCGAGTGTACCTCATCGAGGAAGTCCTTGTAACCTACCTATGTGTAAAATTGAAATTCAATGAAAAATCATTGCACCTACGAAAAACGGTTCTGAATGAAAACGGACTGTCGGCATACTTATTACTAAGTTTATTCTGTGAATTAGGATATTATATTTATATTACCTACTTCTATAGTAATTTATTTTACTATTAGTAATACAGTAGAATGAATTAGCATAAAATTAGAAAACATTGCATATTATTAATATTTAATCATCATAATAATACCTATAAATTTATGTAATATATTTTTGTTAAATGAGTCAATACTAACTGATGGTAGAACGGCAGTATTAGTTTCGTGGTCCAAAAGTATGCAATCGTATAAAATGTGAATTAATGTCATTTTGCATTTAAAATATAATAATAATACGTACAAACATAAAGAGTAAACGAATATTTTTGAATTTCAGCAAAATAACTAAATTATCATTCTTCGGTTATATATTTTTTAATTTCGTTCAAATTCGAACAAAATTAATTTTTATACACAAAACTATTTAGATTTTTTTAGTTTCAGTAGGAACTATTTATGATTGAAAATTGTATAAAATATTTAAAACTGCAAAATTATTTTCAGATTTTGTGAATTTAACAACTTCATAAACATTTTACCTTCAAATGGTTTTCAAAAAATCAGGCTTATTATTGTGTATTATTTTTGAAAGTTTCTAAATTAAATAAAATGTCAAGCTTTTTACTCAAAAACTGTTTTTTTTTATTAAACATGCCTACATCATAAATTCATAAGACGAAAAAAACTAAATGTTGAAAATTTGAAATGGGTGCATATAAATATTAAATAGTACAAAATACAAACATATCCAAAATAATTGTGTGTTTATAATTAAATGTCAATATATGCAATATGCATGTCCTTATGTAATTTATTTTTGAGTTACCTACAGCAAAAAAACCAAAAAAGGTTTTAATAGAAAAATTACCATTTCAATTTTTTTATTATATTTCCTGGTTTATTGGAAAAGCACTTTTTTTTATTCGATTTTATCTCCCTACGTATCAACTAGATTACATTTTCTGTCCGTTACCACTAACCACCACCTTCAATTTTTTCTGTTCTTACAAATTGTAGTGACTAATAAAAATGTTTTTAATTTAAAATAATTAAAAAATGTAAAAAAAATATTCTCTCAGAAACTAGAATGATAAATTGTTATTTGTAAGAAGGTAATATTTTATTTTTTTAAACATATTAATAATAGCCATTACAAATTACATAGGTACATGATGTGAAGTCATTATAGGTACCAGTTAAGTTTAATACAAAGAAGCTATTTATTAGAAATTATCTTGCTTAACATATTACTAGTTGTATCAGTTATTTAATACCTATCTTGCTGACTGCAGAAGATATAGTTTGTTTAAGTATTTAGAGTTAATTTTTTAGTTCTAATACAAGGTTACCTAAGTATATTATAATATCATATATATATTATTGCTACAATATTTAATCGTAAAGACAAATTATTTTAATAGACGGTACTCAACTCATAGTAATTTCAAGATGATCGTGATTTATTATTGGTTTTAAATTTAAAAAAAAATTGTTTTTACAACATTAATTTTCTTCCTAGATAAACGAATTTAGGCGTGTCGTATTAAGTGATTAAAATAATACTATTGCATTTGAATATGTTTTAAAATATATATTTTTTTTATGTTAAACAACATTAGCACATTTTTTTTTTACCAAGTCATTTAGTCAAATATTACTCATGCATTATATAACGAGTATAATAATATACGGATTTTTTGAACAAACAAAAAAGTATTGATTTCATTGCTATTTAAATAAGTTTCGTTTGTGTATTTACCTTATATAGATCTTATAATTATTTAAATACTCTAAGTCCCCTAACTAAATACTCAAAATATGTAGTGCCATCACATAGGGGCTTCTTTCGTACAACTACATATACTCTTTTATCGAATTTGCTTATTGTTCTTTCGAGCAGATTGTAAATATCTTGTAAAATTAAAAAAAAATAAAAAATTTAAATACTGAAAAAGAACATTTTTATAGTGTAATTATCAATTAGTATAAGTTTGGATGTATGAGTTAATACACCGAACCGACTCCTAATTTTTGTAGTATAGATTACAACTAGCTTTGTGTGCTTGTTAAGTCATCTACAAATATTAAAAATCTATTATCGAATTTCTTATAACGTCCTTAAAACTTTTATTAAGTAATAACATACAATTTTTTTAAGAGATACGAATCCAAACGCTAACGAGCGGGAAGACCAACTGACTCCGAGACAGAACCGCGAGTCGACAGAAAAAAAAAAGTAATTGGACATTAAAATGGCAATCCCACGGACAGGCCTTGGGCGTACGAGAGATTATAACAAAACAACTTTTTACGAACATTTAATTTTTTCTTTTCCGAACGAGATGAAGAAGATTTAAAGATTTTGGCTTGCAGCCATTGCGGTTGCAAACGAGTTTTAGTTTTCTTCGGGACGGGAGGACAAAAAAAACTGGATATGAAGATCCCCACTGTCATCCTCTGCCAATGACGGTGGCGTGCGGCGTTCCGTATTCGTCTCACCCCGTGTGCAATTTATTATTTTTTTTTTTTGCTGTACGGGTTCTCGGGATTTTAATGTCGCCCGGCGTGCAAAAAGTTTCCTATTTAAAGCCGGGCCGGGCACCACTTGGACACAATTCGTTCTGACCATCTGCACGAGCACCTACCTCCGAGCAGCATACCAACGGAACACCGTCGTCGTCTTCTTCATCAGAAAACCACCGATTCAATATCACCATCAACATGAAGGCAAGCAAACGCTATTCGACAATATTCCGCTCACGTTGAGAATGCATATTTTTGATTCTCGTTCTGGCGAATAGTATATTTTCGTTCAAACCGATCATAACGCATTTTTCGTATTTTTCTTACAGGTCTTGTGTGTTACATTGCTTTTGGTCGCTGCGGCGTTCGCTGAAAACAAGCCGATGAAACGTAGCTACGGCTATGGATCTGCTGCCTCATCTCTGGGTAATAATAATAATTTATTTTTAATACTATATTATGCGTGTATACTATGTCGTTGTATCCGTTATTACATCATCAGTAGGCTAAATAAAAAAATAGTATAAATATGAACCTAATTCGACGATAACGGCAAAGGCAGTCTCCGGCTTAGCATTATTGTACTAGGATTATTGTGATGCGATTAAAACCTGTTGATGTCAGCCACTTCCGAGTTCTGGGTACCGATCATTTTCATATAATTATTATCAAACCAAGCGGCGCGATCAAACAGAATTCCGATAATTCCAGTGTAACGTATTTGACTAGCTGATCATGTTTTTTTACCGTGCGCATATTATTATCGTTGAGTGCATATTATTACATTGTTAGTACTTACTGGTAGTGTAGATTTTGTTGCATTTAAACCTGACCATAAAATACGACGCTAACGATTTATATGGCACGTACATTCCGTGTATACTTTAGGCTGCAGTAAATTCATTACTGTATACCCACGTCAAATTCAATTGAAAATATTTTACTCTCTTGAGGCGTTTAACATGAATAAATAGTGCATGGGTACTGGGTAGCCCGAGATAGGTTCTCAAAAAAAGTTTTAACTTAACTTATTTCAAACCTTCAAATTATTATACAACATTCTAATTTGATAGAGAACAGCCTGTTCATTTATTCAACGAAGTATTTGAATAATGAAAATGTACCTCCATTACCTATAATAATGTAATTATAATGCGTTATGATAAATATTAAAAATATATTATCTTTTTCATTTTTATTTTTTCATAACATCGAATGATACATGAATACTTCATTTTGAGCATGTTTTATTATTTCTTAGATGCATCAAAATATTCAATTCTGAAATGTAGTTAAATGTAGAATATAATAATAAAGTGATCACAGTACCACACCATTTAAGTTTCGTATAATTCTATTGAATTTAAAAATAAATTTTCCTTTAATCTATTTTACCACGTACACCTACCTGGATAACGATATTTGCATAACAAATAACACATCAAAATACATTTTGTCACACCTTGTATTATATTTTAATTTTACGACATGACGTGGGAAAGCTAAGTGGTGTATTCGTGCTGTTTTGATTATAAAATGTATCTTTTATGGTTTTATATGAGTCTTGAGTCTTGCAAGTTAAATTTCATCGTTAATAATAAATAGGAATGTGGAGCCATACAATTATTTAATAACAAACTACAATATAATATGGGATAGGTAGGTTCTGTTTTGCTGATAAAATGGTGAGGTTTGATTTTTTAATTTTATTTTTAAATCAACTCAATATGCTATAAAGTTCGAAGAATCGTTACACTGCAGTGAATGTATCTACTATATGTTCACATTCATTATAAATTTAACACATTACGTTACTAATTTATTGTAGTTTATAATAAATCACATTCATAATAATATTTAATAACGATGTCCCACCCTAAAATTATAATTATTTATGAGCTTAGAATGGTGTATTAATATATTCCTTAATAAAATTTGATAATATAATATTATATGTTTCTATTTTCTAAACTAAAATAATTTAGTTTAATTTTTATATATTTAAAATTTTTTAAGTTGGATACTCGGAATAATTATATGTATGTATAAATTGGTATAAACTCGTTTTTATTCGATTATTATTATTTTTTTAACTATTCAAATATTATTTATAAAACAACATGATAGTATTGAATATTATTTTTAAGCTTATTTCGACAGTTAATTAATAACTGTATTGTTAAATTATTGTTTTTTGGAACTCATCATACTAACTAATGTTATATACTGATTTAGGATACGGAGCTGGTTTAGGATACGGATCTGCTTTTGGATACAAATCGTACCCATCATCTTATTCAGCTTACTCAGGTGCATACCCAGCAGCGTCTTACTCATCTTACCCAGGCTCTTACTCGGCCTACTCTGGTGCCTACCCAACATCTTACTCAGCCAGCTCTGCTGCCTTCCCAGCATCTTACTCAACTTACTCGGCTGCATCCTCCGCTGCCCTCCCAGCATCTTACTCTGCTGCCTACCCAGCATCTTACTCCTCTGCCTACCCAGCATCTTACTCCACACACTCTGCTGCCTACCCAGCATCTTACTCAACCTACTCGGCTGCATCCCCGGCTGCCTCTTTCTACAGTGCCTCCCCAGCATCATACTCTGGCGTCGTCCCATCGTCGTACTCTGCATACTCTGGAGCATCTCCTTTGGCATATTCTGCCAACTCTGCTGCTGCTCAAGTATTGTCCGGAACCAACGCTGGATTCGTATCAAGCACTGTGGCACCAAAAGCTGTATCTTATGGCGCAACCGAATACCTGGGATCTCAGACTTTCAACTTAAAAAAATAGACAACGAAAAAATACTTATGAAACGAAAATATAACAATGCAAATCAATAAATAATGTGTGTATTTAGAATATAAAATAAATACATTTCTTTTAAAATTATTAATACTTTATTTCTTTAGAAAAACCCCATTTCCCTCAATTTCAAGCAATAGCTAGGTACATTTAACATAATATAGTAATTGAATTATCATTAATTGATATACTTACCCGCGTTGAGTAAAAACGTTGGTAGAGTACTTGTTCCATATTATGTATAATATCAATGAATTTAAGTGAACTAAAATAAATCATTCAAAAAATATAGATACAGATAAACTTTAATGTTTGATTGAAACCATTATAGTTTACTATGAATGAACAATAAAATGAATCCAGTGTATAGCAATATAGCCTATAAGTAATATTAAGCTATGGTAGTATTAAGGGTACATATTACAGTATACAATATTGAATATATTATATTATGTGAAAGTGCTATTTTTTATACTTTCGAAGAAAACATTATAATGATTATTCTTGTATGAACTTTCTGTGTTTGAACACAGAAATGGTAAGTGTCCAGTATCTATATAAAAAAATGTAGGACCTATATATTATATTCTCTACATCCATCCCTCTACCGGTTCTATGGTCAGTAAAAATATGTTTGAATTTGTATGACTAAAAAATTAGTAAATGTAAAGAGATTATTCTTTTGAAATACTCATAGATAAGACAGTCGAACTAATTGTGAAATAACAACAGAAGAGCCACAAATATTAGAAATGAGTTTATTCTAAAAGAGATTGAAAATATTATGATTCACGTGATTTTGAAAAAATGGTGCTATATTCCCGAACAAATCATAAGATACCAAATGGGAGAACCAAACTTAGACGACGTAAGACAGGGGTGGGCAACTGGCGGCTCGTGAGCCTTTTGTATCTGCCCCAAGCTACATTTTCAAATTACATTTTAAACAAAAAAAATGCTAGTTAAAATGTATACTTTGAATGACCTCCCCCTTTTTTCTTTCTATCTTTTGGTCCGCTAGATTTTAATTTTCTAAAAATTGGCCCTCTAGTAGCTTTGAGTTGGCCATTCCTGATGTAAGACAATCACTCCCGTATCATTATTTTTTTCAATATATAATAAATTGATATTCTTCTCTGTCAGGAGTGGCTTCCTCAATTTCTTAGTAAGACCAATTTTCTACATGCCACATACTTTTTTGATCAATTTGTTCTTTTCTCTGGTTTCCTTTCAATTTTTCATTCTATTGTTGTGATTATTTTTGTTCCTTATGAAGTGTTCTAACCATGTATTTCTTCTTTCCACGATTATCTTTCTAACAAATATATTATTATCTTACAGTCATTGTTGCACTTCTTCAATTGACAACTTTTCTATCCAAGAGATTTTTACACACTTTGCCATCATTAAGTTTGAAATGATTCTATTTCTTTTTTGAAACTCTTGGAATTGTCCGAACATTTGCTCCATGCCTCCATACTATTGTTTTTATAATTAGAAAAAAAAAATAACTAAAAATTGTAATTAGTTTTACCATTAAATATGTAGCACCGGATATTAACAACACAGAAAATTCATAACCCCCAGAACAAGAGATATATGACCACCAGTACTGGGTCCACCTAACAAGTAACCTTGTTTTGGTGTTGACAATGATATAAAATGTTACACTTGCAACACCTTAATTAAGCCACTGTAATTGACATCTTATAAAATGTTCAATAGATATTTGCAAGTTTAGAATATAAATACAGGATATATTTCAAACAACTATTTATTGAATCAAATATCAAACATATAAAATGAGTAAGTACAACACATTCTTTAAAGCTTGACTCATTTTAACCAAAAATGTAATTTATTGTGCATTAGACTTAGTCAATGGTCATTGTAAATTTTTCATTGACATAATTCAATATTTTTAAGTCCTCGTGAACATCAAAACCATGGTCACCAAATGGTAATGGTGAATATAGAAGAGACCTTTGCTGAATTCTTTGCAGATCAAGATGCCTGAAAATACCCTCACTAGAAAGTAATAGTTCAGTAGTATTGATAGCAAAGAGATTTATTGCATTAAACTATACTTATACTACTTTGCTCTATATAAAATCAAAATTATATAAATATATAAATATTGTACCTAGAGATTTAAGATAATAATATATTACAATTTTATATAATATATATAGTGTAACAGGATTATTAATGGAAATTTGTTAAATAGTCCTGTTACATATTATATATATATATTAAATAATAATATAAGTAATAATTATTAAATACTTTGAACAATTATAGGTTTTGGTTATTTACATGTTTTGTAATTTTATTTTCAACATACAATAAGCATGTAAAACGTATTTTTATTTACCTTCATTGTTTAAGCTCTGAAAATGTAAAAAAAATTTTATTTATAACTCAAAAATAGTCTCAAACTTAAAACTGATTTATATTTTGATAAAAATATGTTTACAAATAATTAATATAAAGTGTAACACACAATTTTAAAAACAGTTAAAAATAGTAAAAACTGTAAGACACTCTCTGTGATATTAAACATCCAAACTATGTATAATGCATTGTTTGCTCTCAAATATCATTTATTCCATAATAATATATATATTGTTTTTAAATTTTTTTAGTACTGGAGTTGTGTTCAATTGGTTTTGATGGGGTGGTAACTACTAGTGGCTGTTAAATCTTAAATTATAACTATATGGTAGTCCGTAGTAGCTACATCAGAATAATGAGTCAAGAAATGTACAATGTCCTTTGTTCTTTATAGATGACATAAAATAATAACATATTAAAATTATTAGTTTTGTTTTAATAACTTTATACAATAATAAAGGTTTTTTTGTATTATAACCACTAATATATTTTGTCATTTTTTACTTTCCAATTCATTCTTTTTGTTATATTTTGTGTTAACTGCACCAAGGCACCAAACGTTTATTAGGTGAACATTTTAACCAAATCATGTGATTCTAGGAAATTACTCTAATGATCTAGCAAATTGTTGCAATTTTTTCATTTTTGATACCACTTTCAAGCTGGTTGGACCTGCTCAGAGCTGTGTTGTTGACACTGATATATTTGAATTTTATTTAGGTATTCTTGGATTAGATTCTAGCAAATTCTGAAAATAAACTAGCAAATGCCTATCATTTTGTTGATGCTAGATTTAAAGTAACTCCTAACATATTATTATTACTGTGCCGGTGCAAACTTTATGAACATTATGACTAATAGGACATTTTATTTTTTAACGTACAACTTTATAATGGCACGGCGTCGTAGATAGGCAGCTAATAATATCCGGCTGTGTAGCTTGCGGAGTTTTTATAAAAAAACGGAATATTTCATGCGTCGCGTCAATGTTACCGTGAACTACACAGCTCATAAAAGACTGCACATCGGGTCTCCCTAGAAAATAATGAAGTATGCAGAAAAAAAATTATGTATGCATTGAATTTATATAAATTATTTCATATTTGATACCACGGACTTTTGCTTAATACTTATCAATTATCACTATCAAGAAATACTCACCTAGCATTGCTATACATAGATTTTGGAATGTAGTTTAAAGTTGATTCCCCTGAAAATGTATTACTTTATGGGCTCCCTTGAGTTCACATCAAAAGTGGCCGCCAGAGGGTACAATAAAGTATAAACCACACATCGAAGCAGTCCTCTTGAACATATCAGTAAAAAGAATAAAAAATAAAATATCATGATAAAAAAAGTTTTATATTTTGAATCTTTAGCTATAAAATTGAACATTTTGTAAATGTTTAACTACCTAAATAATTTACAAATTTTCGATATTTTGCTGAATATTGTGAAAAATTTAACTTCAAATGATTTAAAAAAAAAAATCATGTCCATATATTTTTAATATTTTTGAACTGCTATTATAATAGTATTTTGACCCAGACAAAAAAGAATTTATTAAGTTAAATTACAATAAGATAACTAACTAGAGTGCCTGCTGTCGTGGTAAAATAGCTGATAATTTGTAGACTTACTAAATACCAATCGCCTCCCGATAAAGATAGGTACTCTAGATTTTATCGTTAGAATAAATAGTTAAATATTTTTTTAGTATTGTTGCCTTTCAACTGGAAGTGATTTGAATAATTCTCGGATCTAAGAAAGTACAGTAATTAATTTATAATGCTCTCAGCGGCGAAACCAACCTGAAATGCACACAAGGAACCTAAAATTAACCCACCATCCACCCACCCTCCTACTAATAATTTATAATAAACACAAGTACTGTTAGCCTTACTATTACTATCTTACTATCTTTGCAAACCATAATTATTATTAAGTAATTGTTTTTCACTGCCGTTGGTACCAGATACAGTGGGACACCTAATGCATATTATAAATAATACATAAATTCACTGATGAGTATACCAATATAACGGACTTTTTATTGTTTATACAATTAACCACTGAGGCGTCTAATTAAGTTTCTGACATGCTTGGATCAAGTAATTTAAGTATAAGACATCTTTGAATCATATGTACTAGGCATACTAAATACAATATCCTCAAATTAATTAATTATCTTATTTTTTATGTAATATTTACGTTTTGTTTGTCATCCATGAATTTAATAAATATGTTCGTAAAGTATAAATAATAGCATAATAAGATAGATAAACTATATACATGTACTTAGATTAGATAACTTCAAACTATAGCAGTCAAATTAACTACATCACTATAGTTGTGACAACGTTTGTCGATATTTATTTTAAGTTTTGATTGCTAAAATAATTCGAAAAATACCATTAAACGCATAGAAAATGTAACCCTAAAAAACGGTTAACGAAATAATATCGAATCTCAAAATTATATTTAAAATAAATATTTATGTTTAGTAAGTACGTTCCATTTTAGAAATTAATGCGATTAATTTCAATAATAAATGCTTAAGACAGAAAAATGAAATTAAATCAACTGTTCCATGTTTATGTCCATTGAGTTAAAAATACTAATAGGTATAAATTTAAATTTCAACCTTA